TCTTGACACAAGTGAGTCATCTTTTCCAGGATGCCCCTGGAAGAAGTGCAAATATCCAGGGCCCTGCGCCTCTCTTTCCCAACTTTCTCTTGCAATTCTAGAAGCAGCAGGAACTGCTGCATTACACAACCCATGAATCCTGCCCTCAGTCTGACATCTTGGGGCTTTTTTTCCCCTTATCTACTAGGGAAGTATCCCTGTTCCTATATCAGAAGGAAGAAACAGGGACAGAACTAGCCACAGTGACATCATCACCCACAGGGCACCTAGGGGCACTTTCAAGTCAGTTGTGCATTCCTTTAAAATCTTTGCTTCTAGAAAATCAGTGTGTGGGAAGAAAGGGTTGGAGTAAGCATTGAGACATCAGTTAGAAGCCAGAGTAGGGTGTGCCTTAAATTGGGCACGGCAACTTTAAAAAAGAATGAAAAAGAAATGGAGTTCTTTTCTTTTGGACAACAACTTATGTGGCTCGCTGAAGGGTATCTGGGGGATGGGTTACTGTGTGTGGTGGGCTAAATGCATTTCTGTGTCCACTAAGCAACTACATGGATTTCTATCCAAAGACTTGGTAGGACAGCTTGGGTGACTCTAGAGAGGCTACTGCTGGGATGATGAAGCATAATTTTAACACAGTTTAATATAATTCTCTCTGCCTTTCAACTCTAGGAGTTGTCTGGACAATCCATCTCAGCTGATAGTAATCACTTGAAGCTGCCCAAGTGGTTCTTGTGTGGTGAACACCAGAAAATTAAGGCTCATGGAAGGGCTTCTCAAAGCCTTGCGTGAAAAAGAACTGCTCAGGGATCACCGGGGCCTGACGACAGAAAAGAAAAGATGCAGAGTTGAGAATGTATTTGGAAATAACTTGCCTGCTGCTTCTTTTTTCTTTTAATTAAAATGGAGTTTATTAGCTTTCCTCTTAATATAAACATGACGAAGAAAAACCACGTAAGTTGTGGCGTTCTTTTCAAAATAGAACTGCAATCACTACTAGAACCACCAAGCTCTGAACTCTATAAACGTTTTTTGAGGTGGTAGACTGTAATATTTTATAGTCCATCATCTTTTGTTTCTGTCCTTTAAAAGTGAAGGAAGCGGCAGCCCTCAGTCTACGTGAAGCCTTGCTGTATCGAAAGTGTTCCCTGGCCCTGGCCAGTATGGCTCAGCGGTTAGAGCGTCGGCCTGCAGTGCGGAGAGACCCAAGTTCGGTTCCCGCTAAGGGCACATCCTTCGGTTGCAGTTTGTCCCCGGCCCTGGTTGGTTGTGGGGGTGGCAGCCACTCGATGTGTCCCTTCACGTCGATGTTTCTCTCTCTCTCTCCCTCCCACTCTATCTGTACAAAAAAATGGAAAAATATTCTCAGGTGAGGATAAAAAAAAAAAAAGAAAGTGTTCCCTGGCCCAGAAATGCTTCGTTTGCAGGCAAAATGTCTAGGAACGTATTTGAGAATGTAGGAGAAAGATTTCACATAGTTGAGAACGTTAATTTTGAAAAATCAATCTCCTAAAAGATTGATCACTTAACTCCCTGCCCTTTCAAGCCCAAGGAGAGGGCTCCTAAGACTTGCATGTTTCCTTTCAAACAGCAAGACTTAAACGGGACACCTACAGCCAGGCCAACATGTAGGATACAAAAGTTGGTTCTTGACAGCAAAGCAAGCAGCAAAGGTGAGAAAGATCACGCGCTCATCAACCAGGACACTGGTCTGTAGCGCCTTCCTCCCCAGCTGCCACACCGAAGCAGGATACGCACCCAGCCCACCAGTCCTCGCACCCGGAACTGGTCTGTCCTGACACTGAACCTGCAGACCTCACACCTTGAACCTGGGTGGCCAGAGTATTCCCCACCATTTGGGGGAGGCCACCCAAATGGCTAAAATTTACCAACTCCAGCCAGTGTGGCTCAGTGGATTGAGCATCCTGGTTGGATTCCCAATCAGGGCACAAGCCCAGGTTGTGGGCTTGATCCCCAGTAGGGGGTGTGCAGGAGGTAGCCAACTGATATTTCCCTCTCACATGGATGTTTATATCTATCTCTTTCCTCTCTCTCTAAAAAAATAATTACCAAATCATTATCTCATATATATATATATATATATTTTTTGATATGTGCCCCTAGCCACTAGAGCCTAGCAGAAACTGAACCGGGGACTCTCTGGTCCACAGGCCGATGCTCCAACCGCTGAGCCAAACTGGCCAGCGCCATTACAACACATTTTTAAAAATTTACTAAAATAAGCTATTTCATGGACAATGTCTCTCCAATTAGATTCACATAAGGGGAGGCCTAGAGATTGTCTTTTAAGTTATTTATTAATTTGAAGGGTATAAATACTAACTAGCATTCATCTGAAGAATACTGGAAACATTTTTCAGGATGATGATTTTTGTAAAAATTCCAAGAGAAATTTAAAGCTTTCTTTCCAAGATGCCCATTTTTTTCCAAATGGCCAGCAAAACCACCAGTGGGTAAAACTGATGACAGTTTTTAATGAAAAAGATGAATTTTTAAGAATTTACAGCCTTCTTTCTTACCTGCTTTCCATTAGCATTTTATGTGTGGATAGAACTTCACTTTATCTTGTTCACTTTGCTTGATTATAGTTTGCCTAAAGATTCTTATTCGTTTCTTCTATTCCTGGGAATCTATAGATGTCATGAAGGTTACTTTATAGACTCTACTTTAATTCCTCCCTTACTAAAACTAAGCATTCTTGTCGGCTACCCTCAGAAAGATGGCAGACTCCTTGGTATTGACTATGCCGATCCGGTCACCCATTGGAAAGAACCTTGGAGTATGGTTTCAGAACCAAAAGAAGTAATGCAAAGAAGTGGAAAGGGCTATATAAATAAACATAAGGTCTTCTTATGTACATAGTCTCTCTCTGCCAAACCACACAGTCTAGTGACAGAGAAGAAAGACCGAGTTTAGGATGAGGCTAGGACGGTCCCCAGGGAGAGGCGGGCAATCTTGGCTCTAGGATCTCGGCATTTTTGCTGGGAAAGCTGAGAACAGAATGGAAGGTCCATCCTTGGACTAGACTCTCTGCAAGGCCATAAAAGAGCCAGAACCAGAGAGGACCCCGTTTCCAGCTTCCCCAAGGCATCAGAGAATCATAACAAAATCCAAAAGGCACGGCAGTCATGCCAGGCACCCAAGGAAGAGGGTCTTGCCATGTGGAAGCGCATCAGGGTCTCGTTGCAGAAGACTGTCCCACAATAGGCGCTGCAAAAAGGACACAGTGCAGACCCGTGCAACAGGAGCCTTTTATTTTAACTGAGAAATACAGAGGAACAAGAAGGGAGCAAAGGGAAGAGGCACCAGACATCTGTCCTTCTGACCGATGGCCACACTCACCTCCATGGAAGGGTTTGCTTTGTCTGGGGCACACAGACTATAGGCCCAAACCACTTCCTGAGCCCTGGCATGGAAGCTGGCAGGAGACGCGCCCCCTGCCATGTGAGGACACTCCTCACGCCTAGGGAGAGAATGGAGAAGTAAGACCAGGGGCTTTAGACGACCTTTGCTTCCATTCAAATATGATCAAAATTATTAAGAGTAGATATTTAGAAGGGGCTTACCTTCCGTGAGAGATAACTTGGAGTTTTTGAAACGGAAAAGGTGCTTCTTCGCTTTCTTGGCCAGGAAGAGCTGATGGAGGATTGTGTGGAATCTCACCTTCTGGAGAACTTTTAAAGAACCTAAGATGGGCAACGGCAGCCCAGCTTGTGTGTGGGGACTGGCTGAGGACTTGACAGTCTCACACTTGGTTGATTTCCAGAGATAAGTGATTAGAGCTGGCATTTTCTTTATCTTCCCTAACATGACATTTTGGCCTTGGCATCCAAGTGCACAAAATCCTTTGGCTGGTGACCAGATGCCTCTGAGAAATTCAGAGTTTATGCGTGCATGAAATTATTAGCATTCTGAGCCACAGAAAAAGAACACTAAGCTCAGAATTCAAACACAGCAGGGTCTGTGCCAACAGGAACCTCGAGCAGGTCTCCTGGGGTCACACTCTTGTATCCAGCCAGACCAGGGACAGAGTTCAAGGGGTCACAAACACTCTCACAGTGAAAAACGCAGGCAAAGCACTCAAGGCCACTGTCCAGTGTCAAGTTCATGTCACCACAGAAAGGCTGGTCAGACCAGCTCATCTCTAGTTTCCCAGATGCTGTCAGCTTCAAGATTGCGATAGAATAGTTGGAACAAATGAAGCATCCAGGGGTAATGCCTGCTGGAACGAGGGCAGAACTGGCCACCACCTAGCAGCTCTGCTCAATGACCTCTTCTGCCTCCTACAAAGCCTTTACCATCTATCACACAGACCACACCCCAGGCTTACCCTGAAGCACCAGTTCACTCAGCCGGCCCCCGAGGGTCTACGTGAGTGTCCACTCTAGAAATTCTCAGATGGCCATGGTCCTCCACCTCTGGGAGTCATCATGAACTCCTCTGTCCCATCTCCTTCCCTTCCCAAGTCAAGAAGCACCAGGAAGCAATGCTTCAGCTGGATATTTGGTTGGCAGATATAAAGGACAGTCAGCATCATGCTTTCTAACTGATTTCAAATAAGAGGAAACATTGGAAACCCCAGTAAGAAAAGAGCCCTAGCACCTCGGCAAGAATGGCTCTGACCCTCGCCAGCTGGGCACTCTGACCTTGCCAGAGGCTGCAGGTGTGCATCGGCACTCTCTGACCCTCCTGCCTCTTCAGTGCAAGCACTTCCTCAGGAAACAGCCATTTAAAAATAGATAATACCCAGCTAACAGGCTTGCGCTCCAGTACCCACCCTCCCTCTCACAGCCAGCAGAGTCCTTCCGTGTGCCAGCTTGCTTTCCCCTCCAGAAAATCTGCACACACAGCCCTGCCGTGCGCGAGGAGTCTCCCACACTCAGAAGGCTCTTGCAAAGGCTGGTGTTAAAGTAAATCATTGATCGATGTAAAGGCTCATGGTTGTGTCAGAAAAAGGGAGCAAGACAATGTATTTGAATACTCACTTTGACGAATCTATGAAGTATATTACAAGTGCACCAATGCTGAGAGCAAAGACTAAGACAACCTGCAAAACAAGAGAAAAATGCCATCACTTAAGGGCAGAACAACACTGGGATTTTATTTTTTAATTTTATGACACATGCAGACACAGCTCGGAAATAGGGCGCCCGCTGCTTTCCGGGGCCTGCCTGGAAATCTATCTCCTTGCTCCTGATGTTGGCTCCTTACCTGGCAGTGGGCAGCAACCTCGCTGCTAGCCAACAGGGGTCAGGGCAGACTCTTGTATCCTAAGGCTCAGGTTCTTTTTTTTTTTTTTTTTTAATGAATTTTACCTTTTTACCCCATTGGCACCCCCCACCCTACCCCCCCCCACCCTGTTCCCGGCTTAGTTGTCCATGTCCATTGGTCATGCATACATGCATATAAGTTCTGTGGTTTATCTCTTCCCACCCCCCCACCCCCCATCCCCTCTTCTGAGGGATGTCAGTCTGTGCCCTACTTCCATGTGTCTGGGTCTACTGTATTCCTCAGACTGTTATGTTCATTATATTATAAAGAAGCCAAGCAGAAAAAGACAAATACCACATGATCTCACTTATATATGGAATATAAGGCTCAGGTTCTTATCTGGCCCTATTAGCTCAGGGCGAATCGTTTCCACACCCAAATTAAGACACTTCAGTAAGAAAAGAGCAGGTAAAAATCAGGGGTGATACAACTTTTCATATTCTACGCAAGCTAGGCCCCAAGAGAACTCAAATACAGGAATATCAATTTTTAGCAGCTTTAACAAGATGTAATTTTACATGCTGTAAAATTCACCCATTTTAAATGTAGACTTCAATCAATGGCTTTGAATAATTTTATCAAGTTCTGTCACTGTAGACTCAATAAACTCCCTCATGCTCATTAACAGTTAATCCACTGTTCCCACCCCAGCCCTAGATAGGCACTAATTCACTTGTTTCTAGTCAAGTAAGACCAACTGAAAAGCAGAAAGTTAGACTTGACTTCGGGTAGTGAACAAACAACACAATGTGTGTGTTATGGAACTGTACACTTGAAACCCACATAATTCTGTTAACCAGTGTCACCCTAATAAAGTCAATAAACATTAAAAAAAAAAAAAAAAGTTAGCATTAGCAGGTTTGGCTCAGTGGTAGAGCATCGGTCCCCGGACCAATGAGTCACGGGTTTGATTCCAGCCAAAGGCAATACCTCAGTTGCAGTTCATCTCCGGCCCTGGTCGGGGTCATGTGGGAGGCAACCATTACATGTGTCCCTCTTATGTTGATGTTTCTTTCTCTATCCCTTTCTCTCCCTCTCTCCCCCTCCTACTCTATCTAAGGATAATTTCTATTAAATCCTCAGGTGAGGATTTAAAATAAAGGTCAAATTGCCGGGTTGGTGTTGCATCATACCATGGACTGAGAGGTCCTGGTTCTATTCCGGGACAGGGCACATGCCCAGGTTGCAGGCTCGATCCCCGTAGGGGGCATGCAGGAGGCAGCTAACAGATGTTTCTCTCTCATCGATGTTTCTATCTCTCTCCCTTCCTCTCCCTCTAAAACAAACAAACAAAAAAAAACAAAATATATTTTAAAATACAATAAATACATAAAGGTCATATTATTTCTAGAACCAAACATACATTCTCTTTCCCACTAATCTTCAGAAGCCAGGAACACCTCGCTCTAGCTGTTTTCTCAGCACCTAACAGTTCATCTGGGCGAGGTGGTCAGTCCTTTGAGGTAGAGGTGATCTTGTCATGTCAATCTCAAGCTGGACTTATTTCAATAAACGCATAATAAAATGTGGTGGGGGGAGAGAAAAGCTCAGGTGTGCTGCTTGTACAAATATCCATGTGAGGGGGGGTGGTTCTCAAGTATTTTAGAAACAGTTTAGGTGTAGAAGAAAACCAAATAAGGGAATACATGAGGCCAGCTACATGGCAATTCCTGTTCTCCTTTACACTCTTCACTCAAAAGTAATCACCTTTGATGGAAAAGACAGCTCAGCATCCCCTTCAGAGGATAGCTGTCACTCCAAAGTCCATCAAATGAACATGTAGCATATTGGGCTGATGCTGGTACCTCTCTGCTCACTCAACATTCTAATTGGTTTATTTCATCTTTCGCAGAGGAGAGTCGGGGTCCAACCAAAAGGATGTTCAAAAACAAAACAGACACTAAGAGCCAATAATCAATCTTAAGAACAAAAAGTCACCCTGGCCGGTTTGGCTCAGCGGTTGGAGCGTTGGCCTGCGGTACAGAGAGACCTGGGTTCGGTTCCCGCTAAGGGCTCGTACCTCGGTTGCAGTTTGTCCCCGGCCCTGGTTGGTCGTGAGGGTGGCAGCCACTCGATGTGTCCCTTCACGTCGATGTTTCTCTCTCTCTCTCTTCCTCTCTCTCCCTCCCGCTCTATCTGAACAAAAAATGGAAAAATGTCCTCGGGTGAGGATAAAAAAAAAGAACAAAAAGTCAACACCACCACCATATACAATGCCAGGGGACAACATACCTTTCAGACCTGCTAACTCCTAAGAAGTGTCAGTCTCCTATGAGAGATTAACATCTCTCTGGCATTGGCTTGTGCACAGAGATAAATCCCAATGCGCTTGAGAGAGAGACTACCTCACACGCTTCTGTACTTGTATGTGCACCACCATAGCTGACAGAAAATAAAATCTGCATATTCATTTAAAATACTGCAAAACTCCATGGAGCTACAGAGGAGGGATGGCAAGCTACACATTAAAACATGGGCGGTTATAACAACTGGACGCTGTAGAATGGGTATGTAGCTCCATAGCGCCTGATAAATTCTCCTTATGAAAGAAAGTATGAAGACACTACTGGGGTCTATTTTATTTTTCCATTTTGCTTTAAAAACTAAAACATGTCCTAGTTGAATCCAAGGAAACTTCTACAATCTGTCAGCAATTACTATGGACCAGGTACAAATCTCCCCACAGCGCACCTGAGACTCTCCCCTCACACACATTCATTCATTCCTTCCTTGAAAAGTTCTGCACAAAAACAAAACAATCAAAAAAATAAACAGTCCTCTGCGTTTCCCTCCTATATCTGAATGAGGCAGCAAAACAAATAGTTTAAGATTAATTCTGTTCTGTGCTGCTATTTCTGACACAAGCAGTGAGATCCTAGCCCTGACCTCATTCTCAAAATGCTGCAAAGAGAAGGGGTGTGGCCTGAACAGAGGGGAAGGGCCTGGTCTTCATTCATGAACAGTTGATTCAAGACTAATCTCTGTCAATTTGGCTGCATGTGTGTGCATGTGCGTGTGTGAATGCTGAGCTTTGGTCAAGCCGGGGACACAGGCTTATTCCATTAAAAGCTGGAGAGGAAAGGAGAAGAAAGGGGAAGGGAGAGAAGAAGAGGAGAAAAGAGGAAGGGGAAAGAAAAGGAAAGAAGTCTTTGCAAATGTCATCTACAGCATTCTGAAATGAGCTCAAAAATCTCCACTTTCCTGCAATGGCAATGATTCCCCAGCCTCGGAGTGGCCAAAGCAACTGACACTAATTTCTCCCAGCTGCCTGCAACCGGCCTCTGTGATGAAAAATAACGTGCAGCTTATTTAAGCAAATCAGCCAGTGACAGCAGGGAAGGAATCCTGCTAGCCTTTTCAGATGCAAACTCAAATATCAGCATCTCTCCAATAAGTCAAGGAAGGGAAGAAATCCAGGAGGCACATGACCTCCAAATCTCCAGAAACTGAAGATCTGAACTAATGTTCAGCTGGAAGACTCTCTCAAGGAGGTACAGGGTGCCTGAACTCCCCCCACCCACCCATCTACCTCCAGGTATGAAATGACTGATTAGCAGAGGATCCGTTTCTCCATATTGAAACAACTGTGCATGTGATTTTTTTTTTTAAGTTTTTTTCCTAATCCTTACCCAAGCATATGTTTATTGATTTTAGAAAGAGAGAGAGAGAGAGAGAGATCAAATGGTTGCCTCCCACACATGCCCTGATTGGGGATCAAACCCACAACCTAGGTATGTTCCCTTAATGGGAATCAAATATGGAACCTTTTGGTGTTTGGGATGATGCTCCAACCAACTGAGCCACCTAGCCAGAGCGTGAATGTAATTTTTCAACTTGCTAAATGCCTCTTTCTCATGTCAGGCTTGATCACATTGTCAGCCTGTATCCAAGTACTACAGAAAATACATCAACCTTTGACTTGGGCCCTGAAAACAGGAATCCAATAGAGTTATCTTCTACAGGCCCTAGCAAAGAACCTGTCCTCCTGCCTCATCTCTGTCTCTGAGAAAACCCCCACTGTCTGAGTTCCCTAATCTAAATATTTTAAAAATCAGTTTCACTACACAAAATGATTCTATTCTAGCCTAAATGGTAATAGTTATGTTACAGAGAACCCTCAAATAATCATCTAAGTATTTATGTGACCTCTGCTATGCATAAAGCCCTAGGAAAAGTAAAAGAAAAAAGACACTTGGAGTCATGAAATACACTCCTTTGCGGAGTAATCCTTCCATAGATGGATCCTATGCTATTATCCAGTCAGTGAGCAACTATGTAGTACGGGTACATAAGCCATTGATTTGGTGGAACAATCCTGAATGGAGAGGAGCTAGGAAGGGTAGGAACAGGGGCTCCTGTCACAATATCCTCCTCACTCTCAAAGTGTCCCTTCTTCCCATGTCTCCTCAGCAAGTAGGATGGCCTTGGGGAGTCCTTTCATGTGCTTCTGTCGTCCCAGGGATAAGAGACACTGAAACCCCAGCCACATAAGATGAGCCAAGCGAAGCACAGAACCTGAGACAAGAAGACACTTGCTGTCCAGCAGCTGCGTTACAGAACACCCCTTACAGTGACCAAGCGCTTTGTAAAGCATTATGTGCAAACGAGAGCTTGTGAACACAGTCTGACCAAGGGGATAACGTGAGCCTGCCCTCTCAGGGTACCTTTGTGCCAACCTCCACTACAGCCAGTCCCGCCCTCCTGACTTTTCATAGTCAGGCTTCACCAAATCACCTTGGCTACCTGCATGGTGCTAACTGCCATATTCCTAGGTTT